TCACCTGAAAGAGATCCCAAAATGAAAACTCTCAGGAATATTACAGCCAAATTCCAGACCTCCCAGATTAATGAGAAAATATTGCAACTGGACAGAAAGAAACAATTCAAGTGTCATGGAAACACATTCAGGATAACATAATATTTAGCAGGTTCTATGCTAAAGGGTTGAAAGGCTTGTAATATGATATTCCAGAGGGCAAAGGATCTATGATTACAATCAAGAATCACCCACCCAGCAAAATTGAGTATAATCCTTCAGGGGAGATATGAACATTCAATGAAATAGAAGACTTTCAAGCATTCTTGATGAAAAGACCACAGCTGAATAGAAAATTTGATTTTTAAATATGAGAAGCAAGAGAAGAATAAAAAGGTAAACAAGAAAGGGAAATCATAAAGGACTGAATAAGGTTAAACTATTTAAATTCCTGCATAAGAAGATGATACTTGTAATTCATAAGAACTTCATCATTATTAAGGCAAATTGAAGGAACATATGTAGACTGAAGTCATAGGTGTGAGCTGATTATGAAGGAATAATATCTACAAAAAGGAAAATTAAAGGGTGAGAGAGGAATGTACTGGGGGAAAGAGAAAGGGAGAGGTAGAATGGAGTAAATTATCTCACATAAAAGAGGCAAACAAAGAGGGAATAACATACACACTCAATTAGGTATATAAATCTATCGTACTTGCCCTATAGGGAGTAAATTATCTCATGTAAAAGAGGCAAGAAAAAGATATGAAAACATACTCTAACTCACTATCAGAGAAATGCAAATTAAAACAATTCTGAGGTACTATCTCATACCTATTACATTGGCTAATAGGATAGAAAATGAAAAATGACAAATGGTGGAGGGGATGTGGGGAAAAATAGGACATTAATGCATTGTTGATAGAGTCGTGAACTGATTCATCCATTCTATAGAGCATTTTGGAACTATGCCCAAAGGGTTATAAAACCATGCAAACACTTTGACCCAGCAATACCACTACTAGTTATGTTCTCTACAGTTAATTTTTGTCTTTCCTTTCCCAAGCTATTGACTCTCTTTCATACCTCTCATTTCTTTTCCCATTTGTTCTTCTACCTCTCTCATTTGATTTTTAACATCCTTCTTGAGCTCTTCTAAGAAGGCTTTTTGTGCTTCAGACCAGTTCATATTCCCTTTTGATGTTGCAGATGTGGGTTTGTTGACAATGTTGTCCTCTTCAGAATTTCTGTCTTGATCTTCACTCTTCTCATAATAAGAATCTATTGTACATTTCCTTTTGCTCATGGTCTTTGCTTATTTCCTGGCCTTTAAAGAGATTGATCTCTCCTGCTGGGGAGCAGAGAGCACTAACCCAAGCTTCTTGTGTCGGGAGCCTAGGGACTGGTCACTGACTTTGTGTTCTGGGGCCTCCAGTGCTGGCAGTTGGAGGCTGTAGGGTCTGGCAGCTTACCTGGTGTTGGGCTGGAATCAGCAATACTAGAACTCTAGGGGTAGGATTAAGTAGTGTGGCCTCTGGAGATTTCCTACACACCCAGGCTTTCCTTCCTTTCACTTTCTTCAGCTCCTTTCAGAGGGATATTGTAGGATGTTTATCTGTGTGGGGCCCCTTGGAGCACTGCTTCCCTTAGTTTTGCTGAGGCACTGGGAAACTTGGTTGCTGTAGAATGCCAAGGTACCTGGTGGCTTTCCAAACTGGTTTCCACCAGTTCCCCCAACCTCACTGAGGCACTCAGGGGTCCTGGTGTTGATGTTTGTTTACTCTACCACCTGGGTTTCAGGATCTCCTCTTGGTATGCTGAGGTGGAACTTTCTGCTAGCTTGCTGGGACACCTCCCATTCTGTACTGCAACCCTGCCCCCAGGGCAAGAGGGGCCTTTCCTGTTAATCCCTCAAGCTACGTTGGCTACTGGACTGCTGTACCCTATCTTTCTTCTGGTTCAGTTGTTACAGGGTTTTTCCTGGGGCAATATTTTCTGGGCTTTCAGAAGTTAATAAGGGAGGATAAGAGTGACTTATTTCTTACTCTACCTTCTTGGATCCCAGAAGTGATCAAGAGAATTTCAAAGCTCAGACCGAATCCCCCCCCCCCAATCCCTTACTTTCCAACTTTGCCCCACTACTAGTTCTATATCCCAAAAGAGATTAAAAAAAGGAAAAGGACTTATATGTATAAAAGTATTTATAGCAGCTCTTTTCTCACGACAAAAAATTGGAAAATGAGGGGATGCCCATCAATTGGAGAATGGCTGAACAAGTCGTGGTATGTGATTATGATGGAATACTATTGTGCTATGGGACATGATGAGTGGGATGATCTCAAAAAAGCTTGGAGACACTTACATGAGCTGATGCAAAGTGAAATATACTGTGTACAAAGTAACAGAAATATTGTCAGATTATCAGCTATGAATGACTTAGCTATTCTCAGCAATACAATGATGCAAGACAACTCTGAAGGACTTATGATGAAAAATTCTATCCATAGCCAGAGAAAGAACTGATCATGTCTGAATATAGATTGAAGCATACTTTTGTTACTTTTTTTTTCTTGAAGGTTTTAGAAGGCATATGTAGCATAGGTGATAGATATATAGATATCTATATCTATCTATACTATATATGCATACCTATATCTATCTATATCTACATATATAGGTACATACATATATACATATATTTGTGTGTGAGTGTGTGTGTGTGTGTGTGTGTGTGTAATGTTTGGAAAAGTTGACCATGGAAGGTTAAAGTAAATAACAGCTCTTAGTTTCCCAGATGTAGGCCTTCTGGAACAAATACCTGCTATTTGGTCATTAATATAATTCACACTTATGTAACATTTTAAGATTATATGACACTTCCCTATAACCCTCCCTGGCCACCACTCCCTTACATGTGTTATTTCCCACATTAGAATGTAATTTTTTTTTAGGACAGGGACTCTCTTTGTTGTTGTTATTGTTGTTTTTTCTTTTTGTATTTCTATCTTGAGCACTTGGCACAATGCATAGCACACAATAATTACTTAATAAATATTACTTTTAATTCATTAATTCGTACATATATAATATTTAACATATAGTAGAAAGAGAATCAAATTGAGGACAAAAAATCCTAGGTTCTAATCCAAGAGCTGCCAATATTGAACTATAAGATTTTAGGCATATCACAGGATCATTTTTAGTCTTAGTTTCTTCATTTGTGAAAAGAAGAGGTAGAATTAGATAAAATCCAAAGTCCCTTTCAAGTGTAACATCTGTGAATCTAGTTGTAATGACCAAGCCCATGTTCACTCTATCTCTACCCTTTTCACCCTCCACAAATTTGGTAATAGCCCATGACAGTTTTAATGCTATGTTGAATTGTACAAATCATTTTAATCTTACTTCATTTGGAAACTACCATTATCATCTTAGTCATTTGTTAAACTTTTCTGAACCTTCAGACATATGACAAGAGCATTGCATATATTCCGGGTGCTAATGTACCAGTAATTTTGCTTTATTTTTGGAGAAATACAATATTTTTATCTCTTTTATTTCCAGTACTTCTTACACTGACTTGCATTTTTCCCTAATAGTCGAAAATCCTATGATGATGCTTAACATTTTGTTGGCCCCCTTTTTTTGGCTATTAGCTTCACCGGGTTGTGTTTATACTAAGCTTCAAGATTGATTCATTCATTCAACATGTTTCTTGAGCATAAGACACCATGACAGGTGCTATGGGAGATTTTTAAGGCATCTAAGACCTACCTCTAAGTTCCCTTTCTTGAATCTCAAAAGCTTTGCAGTTTTCAAATAGATACAAAATGAGTATTTTAAGTTATACATCTGCGATCGTATCTCTTCTTCATCAGAAAAATTCATTAAAATATTTTAAAAAATTAAAAATGATTTTAACTGGAATTCCCTTAGAAAGTAGTATGCAAGGCATTGAAATCATCTAGTTGTTCAGAAAAACTTTTCTGTCCTTGCTGTCAGATTAAATAAAAACAGAAAATATTATTTACTTCTCTCAGTGAAGTACGTTGACCTTGACTGCAGACAGGTTCAGGATGGGCCTACTAGGGTCATCTTTCTGAATGTGGTACAGAGGAGGTATGTGAGAATTAGAGAAAAATACAAGAAAAGACCCCCCCCAAAAAAATACTTTTAAAACCTCTGAAATTTAAATTCCCAATAGGATATTAATTTGCCATCATTTATTTGACTTCTTCTAAGAGTGAGCACAAGAATATTGTTTATAATTTGAGAAGCCTTTTCAAAGGCATCTCAGTTATCAGTTAAGGATAATAAGAATTCAATTTTTAAAATGCATTCTTGCTCAAAGGACAATTTGTGATAGAAGAAATGTTCTCCAATTAGTATAGATTGTTTGCTTTTGTGTATGGCATATAATTAAAAAACAAACCTTTTCCTAGTAGAACGAATTATATTTGTTTATAATGATTAATAATTCATTTTTAGACATCAAGGAGGAACAATACTTATTTTAACTTACAAAGCTAGGTCCTTATCCTTAGGAAATATTTCAGTTTGAAATAGTTTTTAATCTAAATATCAAATATCCGCACTTTTGAACAGTAAGTGTGTTTTATTTTTAGCAATGTTGGTGACTGTATTGTAAGCTTTTCCTAGGATGGTTTCTGAAGAAGCTATTTATTATGGAGAAACATATTTGAAACAGACTGCACTTAATAGCTATGATCTGCAACAGAGTGTAATAAAGCTGCTATAAAAACATTTTATATTTAGAATTGAGATAGCCTCCTATTAAAAATCCAACCATAATGGTTATTTTTATGGGTTTGTTCCTTTTGAAAGCAAAGAAAGAATTTGTTATGTGTGCATATGTATACACATACGTGTGTGTAAAGATTTACATAAATATGATTACCATGACACAACTTTCTAAACAAATCATACACAAAATTCCCTTATATTATACAGTTATAATTTTATTATTAATATTAAGCCATTCTTTTTTTAAATTAAATCAGACAGCATTACTGAAGTCTTCACTAATATCTACGTGACCAGTTTTGGACCTGTCTCAGACACAGATATGGTAAGTCCTTTATTAAAAAAATATTTTGATTGAACTATTTAATTATATCTCTTTTAAATTTTTTTTTGTTTTGATGAAAGTACAAGGATCTATTATTTTTCAGGCCAAATGAAAAATAGCTTGTCAGCACACATACTATTTGCTAATTTGGCTTTCTATAAACACTGTTTACACCCTTCACTTTACCTTTATCTCAAGTTGGTGTCTCAACATTTTTTGCTGTTGATTGTAGGGATACTCTCCAGATTTGGATTTTCTGCTTAGCTATCACTGAGTAATCCCTATTTAGTTTCATAGGTTTGGCTGTCCACAAAGTCCATACCACTTGCCTAAAGTTTTTAGCTATCCATAGATCTGGTTCCTACTTTTTCTTGCTTTATCACCTTCTTCTTCTTTAGGGAAAATGAATTGGACAAAACAATACCACAGACTGTACATACTGTTGACCCAAACTTTAAGTTGCTTGTGTTATGGTGAAGATTTTTTCCATCAAGTTTCACATGAAAGATGTGCATCTTTCTTAGTCTTTTATTGTCTTAATTATAACCCTACCCCTTTCTATTGCAACTTATTTATAGTTTTAAAGCTGTTTTGTAGAAGGCTGTCTTCAGAAAGATACAATTCATTTATTTAGAATTTGCTGCCCAACCTTATCTACACAAATTTCATATTGAAATATCCGCTTGTCATTATTTAGACATGAATACAGTGCTATGTCTTGGTTAAGATGTAACCTCAGTTCAAAAAACAAACAAAAAAAATCAGCAATTACATTTATCCTTCTCTCCTGACTAATTACTATAGCAATATCCATGGATATTGTAATGAATTTACATGTCTCTAAATTTCTCAAGGATAGATTGTGACTGTAATGTTTAAAAGTTGCAAGGAATCTAGGACTGAGAGATAAGTGTGAGACTTTAGGAGGGGGTATAATCCATTTTTATCTGCTTTCTAACTACTTGCAACTCCAAGGAACAAGATGACCCCAAACCAGGTACCCTCTGGAGTCCCTGCCTCCTACCTTCCTGCCTCCTTTTGTGTGATGTCTTTCCTCAGTAGACTGTAAGCTCCTTGAAGCCAGAGGACTGTCTTTCTTTTTATTAATTACATCCTCAGCACTTAAAACAATGCCTGGCACATGATACGCACTTAAATTTTTATGAAATTGGACCAGGACAAAGAATATCAAGCCTGCCTCCTATGACTCACACAAACTCACAAGTTGATGGAACTTGGGTGCTTGCAGTGATGACAGCTATCCAGTTTTCCAATTTCTGGATAAGTACTTCTGAAGAATTGATGATATTACTTATTTAAACAAAATTACAAAATGTTTATTATGTTTGGTCACATTTGAAAAAATCTAGATTCATGATTTCATTGATCTACAGAGTTCCCATTATGAGAAGTCATTCCATGGATGTAAAATGGAAAATCATTTATGGTTTGTAGTTTGGATTCCTAGGAATTTAAATAATTTGTCCATAGTCATATAGATAGTATAATTTCAGGGCAAAACTTGAACACAGATCTTATTCATTCTAAGACAACCTTTTACTATGTCTCACTTCTTGTTATATGAAGATGGATTTAACATACTTATATAAATGTTCCTTTAAAGAAAGAGGTTAACTCAAGGAGTTGGAAACATAGAAACAAGTCAACAAGAATTTATTAAATACTTGCTCTGTGCCAGCAACTGTGCTAAGAACTGGGGATATAAAGGAAAGCAAAAACAATATCTGCCCTCGAGGAGATCACACTCAAATTGAGGAGATAATTTGCAAATAGCTATGTATATACAAGATATGTGCAGGGTAAAATTGAAGTTATCTCAGAAGGAAGACAATATGGTATTAGTTGGAAGAAATAGTAAAGTTTTCTTTTTGAAGGTTGAATTTGAGCTGGGTTTTAAAGGAAGCCAGGTAGTCCAGGAAGTAAAGGTGACAAAAGAGTGAATCCCAGATATGGGAGGCAGCTCATTTTGGTGTCAAGTGAGGTTTGAGGAAAAGTAAGAAGGTCAATATAGCCAAAGGCTTTAAAAGGCAAACAATAGATTTTATTTTTGATCCTGGACAAAATAGGGAATAAGGGAATGATATGATCAGGCCTCAGAAAGATCATTTTGCCATCTTACTGGAGGATGGGCTGGAGTGGGGAGATACTTGAGACAGAGAACAACTGGGATGGGTGAGGGATGCCACAGTAAGTTGTAGCAAGGATAAAAAAGGTTTGGAAAAGTCACTATGGTGAATGAGATAATGAATAGATTACAGAGTTATAAAAGCATTACTTTGGCACAGTGAGGACTCAGTTGAGATTATGTAACATAAATCTCTCTTAGTCAGCATTGTTTTATGAGTTTTCTCCAATAGTTCAGCTTCATATGAATAAGAGCAAAGGCAGCAGGTAGTGGTAATAATCCAAGTTTGGGGTTTGGTAAGGTATAATTGGTGGTAGGATAAGTGGGTAAGTGACTCTTAGCATAGAGGACAGAGGGTAGAGTTAGAAAAAAAGCTATAAGAATTAGTTCTGGAGTTACTGAAGCATCCTCTACTTGGGAAACAAAATCTGAGGAGAGGGATATATTGACATATTTAGTTATTACTTGGGATAATTTTGCATAAACCAATTAAGGTGATCTAATTTTTTTCCATCATAGACAGATAGAATTATGTCTGTACTAAGGGAGTAAACAAATATACTTCAGAGCAGAATTGTTTTAGTGTTTTCCATACTGAAGATCCATGAGACAACAATTCAGTTAATTAGAGTCTATTTGAAGGTGTTAGATGACATTAAAAAAGAAGTGAAGTAAATGACAAGCCTAAGCGTTTCATACCCACCACAAGTTGCTGGGCTCCACCTCTATCTCTCATTCCAAAATGGGCCAACAAAATTAGAACCAGAATGGATTGTAGAAATTTAAATTTAGTAAGCTAATTTAATATGTATCCTATGCCGGATTTGGCCCATTGTTAGGACAGTAAGGAATTGCTAAAGTCATCTCAACTATTGATTTAAGGAAAGGTTTTGGACAAATGGCCTTAGATGAAAAATCCAAGCTTCAAATAACTTTGGTAATATTAGATTATGTGTTCAGTGTATCTTACCCTTTGGACCAAGGAATTTATTTACCTCTTTCCTCAGGCTGATTAATGGTTCACTCAGTGAACTAGGGACATTTTCCAGATTGCCGAGCAAATGGAGATACATTTAGCTATTGCGTAACAGGGCATTTGCAACATTGTGCACGGCCTATAAGGATGTTCTTGGAAAATGGGAATTTCTTTACACTCTTTCTGTATTCTTTCACTGAAATCTACTGCCTGGTTCTCCCCAGAGGACCTTGGATTCCTAGACATGCTTTGCAGTTCTAAGTGCCCCTTCTCTTATGTGCTGATGGAACAGGAGGTCAGAAGGGAAAAGGAACACTCACCATTGCCACTTTTTGACTGTCCTTTTATCATTAACACTTAGCAACCTCTATTTCTTTGACAAGTCTGGCTGTCTTCAGTACTAGTTTAAATTCTTATTGTAGTCATCCTATCACCTCCAGGACATTATTCTTTCTTATTTAAAGAGTTCAGTATCTAGGTTACAGACTTTCTCTCGACTCCAACCCTTTCCTTTACACCAAGCAACATCAAAACACATTATTGTCCGCTTAAATGCCCCAACCTACCAGTTCTGGAACAACCTCAACAACTGTGAATTTCATCTTCATTTTCCTTCATGCTCATGCAGGGATGAAGAAACCATGATCTTAAGACCATTCAAGACTTTTCATATTCATAATCAAGAACCCTGGAATTCTTCCTTCTCACCATAGACTCCTAGCCTTCAAGTTATTATGTGAAACCTCTTTCTCTGTTTCACAGTCAAGCTCCTTTAAAGGAGCTTATTCATTGCCTACATTTCTTCACCTTCCACTCTTTTCTTAGCTCTTGTAATTGGTAACCTCTCATCTAAACTGTTTTTTTTTCAGGGTCACCAGTGATCCCAAATGGTAAATCTCATGGTGTTAACTCATCTCTCATTTTTTTCACCTTCTCAGTTTTTGACACCCTTTCCCATATCTTTCTTGGTGCTCTTTCCTCCCTTAGTTTCTGTGACATTGTGCCTTTTTGATTCTCAGTATTTTTTGCTGAATAATAATTAACCACCCAAGGCTCTGTCTTTGACCCCCTTCTCAGCTCTCAATTACACTCTATCCTTTAGAGAGCTCACCAACTTCCATGGCTGCGATTATTATCTCTTTACAGATTATTCCCAGATCTACATATCTAGTTCTAAAGATTCCTTCACCTGCCCAAACTCCAATCCAGTACTATCAACTACATGCTTGGCATGAGCCTCTGAATATCTTTTATGTAACAGTGTGCAGATAAATGTTTAACAACTGACTCCAGAAAAAGAAAATGTACCTAGGAAACATGTTCAAGTTTAATCTGCATTATTACCATTTTCTCCATCACCTTTTTAAGTCTAAAAAAATCAACAAAATAAGAAATCAATCCCTGATTTGTAGTGCTTGCTAATATTGGGAGTATAAATGCTCACACTGAAAATTTAACAATTAGCTGAACAATTTGAGCTGGCTCCAGCACAGTTCTGGTGTGTGTGTACCCTCAAACCTTATATCTCTTGCAACCATCTCCAATTTGTTAACAATATTATTAATAGTAATACTTAATAATTATTTATTTCCTAGGAAAGACAATTCTATTGCCATCATTTCCTATCTCCTCCCTTATTATTTATGTACATAAAGATAGATAAATAGATGGATTAGATTAGAGTTTTCTCCATTATTAGGAAGAGCTAGAAGATTATTTTTATTGAAAAAGAAAGTGTATTAAGATGAGTCATATGAAATAAGTTGGTAATATGAGTAATATGAAGAAAATTATGTGGGAGCTTGACCCTGAAGGGCTTTAAATATTAGCTGAAAATCAAACGCACATAGCTGAATATAGCTATATAATCTATATCTA